CCAAATAGCCAAAAATATTGAAATAAATGATTTTTTAAAGAAATCAATGGAAAATTGGAAGTATAATCATCAAAAATAGATAGAAATTTGATCCATAAATTCGAAAAATTTTTTAAAAAGAGGGTTTTGATGTTTTCCTTTTACAATTTTAAAGGGGGGTGGGACAAATGCGACCTTTTTTTTGCGCACCCGGACATTTGCGCACCTTTTTTTAGCCTTAGCCGCACTTAGCCCATTAGCCCACCTTTTTTCGCGTTTTAAAAAAGCTCTAAAAAGCTAATATTAACGAATTTCTATTCCAAAAGTTGTTTTTCTAGGTAATTTTAGGGTGTCGAATTCAAATTTTGACATATCAGAGCTTGTGGAACCAATTTGAAAGACAAAACGGCTAGATCAAATTACAGAAATTTCAAATTGTTGATTTTTCTCTTTGTATAACTCCGTCCGTTTGTTTCCACAAGCTCTGATAGGTCAAAATTTCGATTCTACGCCCTAAAATTACCTAGAAAAACAACTTTTGGAATAGAAATTGGTTAATATTAGCTTTTTAGAGCTTTTTTAGAGCTTTTTTAAAAAAAAGGTGCGTTAATGGGCAAGGGCAAGGTGTCAGAGCTTGTGGAAACAAACGGACGGAGTTATACAAAGAGAAAAATCGACAATTTTCTGTAATTTGATCTAGCCGTTTTGTCTTTCAAATAGGTTCCACAAGCTCTGATATGCCAAAATTTCGATTCTACGCCCTAAAATTACCTAGAAAAACAACTTTTGGAATTAGAATTCGTTAATATTAGGTTGAGGAAAAAGTAATGTCGGTTTGAATTCCCGTTGTTTGCAATTTTCCAGTTCTTTGCTTAGGCGATTTTTTCAAATAGATATCAGCTAGACACTCTATACTTTCATATTATATTTAACCTTTACAAATTTTTACAAATTTAACATATTTTCAGATACAAAATGCAAGACAAAAAGTTTCGACTTCGAGCCACCTTGTGGTATGATTTTAAACAAGGGAAATCCGCGGCTGAATCACATCCGACAATAATTGAAGTTTTTGGGGACGGCAGCATTAGCGAAAGACAATGCCAAAGATGGTTTCAAAAAGCTAGAAATGAGAGTCTCCAAGACGAGGAACGGTCTGGACGACCCCAAGAGATTTCAGATGTGGATTTGCTTGATGCCATTGAACTCAATCCAACCCTTACCATTCGTGAGTTAGCGGACACATTTGGGATGAACCAAAAAACAATCGAAAACCACTTGCATCAATTAGGAAAAACAATTCACTACAGAAGGTGGGTTCCTCATGAACTGACTCAAGGCAACAAAACAACTTGTGTTATCGTTAGTTCTACTCTGCTTCAAAAAAGCAAATCTCATGATTTTTGGGGAAGAACTCTAACATCTGATGAAACATGGATTCAATATGAGAATGTGAAGCGCAAAAATCAGTGGCTCCTCTAGGTCAACCCCGCACAACCAACTTCAAAACCCGATATTCATGGAAAGAAACTTATGCGGTGAAATACAAAAGGTTTGGTGTATCATGAGTTATTGAATCCGGGAGAAAGTGTCACCGCTGATCTTTATTTAAAACAGTTGATGAGAGTTAACGAGGCTTTAAAGAAATTGGGCGTTGAAACATCAAAAGTGCTATTTTGCATGATAATGCAAAATCACTCACCAAAAAATCGACGAGCTTGGTTGGAAACTTATAGCCCCACGCACCTTATAGCCCGGACCTGGCCCCATCATATTATTTTTTTGTTTTCTTATGGGAGAAAAGTTCGAGAATCATGGACAGATCAAAAAAGCAGTCGACACTTATTTTGGCTCGAAAACTTCCCATTTTTTTTGAGGATCCGATCAGGGACTTGTGACGAAGATGGGAACAAGTCATCAATAATAATGGAAAATATCTCATTGATTGATGTGCGTTTGTTTATGTTAGCAATAAAGAGTTTTGTGGAAAAACGACATTACTTTTTCCTCAACCTAATATTAGCTTTTAGAGCTTTTTTTAAAACGCGAAAAAAGGTGCGCTAATGGGCTAAGTGCGGAAAAAAAGGTCGCATTTGTCCCCAGTCCCTTTTAAAGCACTCAACCAAATCGATGATAAGACGGCGCTATTCTAAGGTTTCAAGTGAGAAAAGTTTCAATCTATGTTTATACATCTATGAATATATATCTATGAATATATATCTATGAATCTAAATTGCTGAAAAATTGAATGGAACAGCCAAAGTATTTGAATAGCCAAGCCAAATTTGAATTAGAACAGCCAAAGTAGATACAAATAGCCAAAAATATTGAAATAAATGACTTTTTTTCAAAGAAATCAATGAAAAATTGAATGTATAATCATCGAAAAATCGAAAAATAGATAGAAATTTGATTCTTACAAACTACAAGTTAAAAAACCTTCAAAATTCTTTTACACACACTTTTGAAAGTGGTTTCGGAATCGAATTCTTCTTGAAAAACTTGATTGGAGTGGATTTAGCCAAAAAAAGAGTCATTTTTCAAATTCAAAAAGTTCATTTTTAGCAAGAATTTTCTAAAACCTCCCAAAATAAGCAACTTTCTCTTCCGGAGCTCTCGATTAGCTTGATTTGATTTTTAAAAGAAAGAAAAATCCTTTTAAATATTCTTGAAGAAAGCGTTTGACTTGTGTTTATTGGAATTTCTTGAATTGAAATTTGTTTGACTTTTCAGGACATTTTTTTTCTTTCTTTTCTTTCTTTTCCTTCTTTTCCTCTTTTTTTTTTCGTTCATTTTCTTTCCCACACTCGATTAATTGAAAGCATTTCTGAAATGGGTAAAATTGGGAAAAGAAATTGAAGGAAGAAAGTCCAGAAGATCCAGTAAATCCAAAAGATCCAGAAGAGTTTAAAGAGGTTTTATGTATCAAAAGCAAGTTCAAAAAAAGCTCTTTCATTATCCTCAAGGCTTTGAAGAAGACAGAGGAATTTTAAATGTTTCGATTTGAGAGACATTGCTTTATTTAACGACTAGTTAATTATGATGTAATAGATCAAAAACTACAAAAAAAACCACAATCAAGAACATTGTTGTGACGATCTCGTGATCGAGATCATCCAGCCAGACATGGATGGAAATGGAAATGGCCAGGATGGAAATGGTCAGGATGGAAATGGCCAGGATGGAAATGACCAGGATGGAAATGGTCAGCCAGACACCTTTGTGGGCGAACGCCTATCGTGCGAGATTTAATATGCGTCGCTATCCGTTCAACTCCATTGTGTGCAAGACGAGATCAACGCTAAAGTTCTGTATAAAAGCAATGTGAACCAGCTGCCGAGGTGTGCTGTGGAGTCGTCTCTACTCTCCCAATCCCAAACCACTGAACCAACTATTATTGCTGTAATAAAGATTATATCTAAACAAACAATAATCACTACAAACATCAAGACAGAAAAGCAACAGCTACCATTAAGAAATCAAAGCTACAGACCAATAGCAAGAAAAACAAAAACGAAAACGAAAAGTGATTCTGTGAAATGAAGAGACAATAAATTATTGTCAATATTATACAAATTTGCTAGGCGATCGGGAACAATAAAAAATTGAAATCATTAAGTGTTTATCTGAGATGCAATTAGCTAAAATATAGCGATAAACAGTATACATTAAACTGACTATAACTATTATTAATAAATTGTAAAATTAGAGTCGAATAACTTGAAACAATAGCTTTTTAAAATAACAAATCTAATAGTTTTTCTGATTTCCTTTAATCAAAGAAAGAAGAGGAAAGGAGAATACTAGCACCTCCATCCTTTTTTCTTATCCTCAAAGAATTGAGACTCCTTTTTCCCACAAACCAATCTCATTATTACCTCACATCTCCACCACATGCTGTTTCTTTTGCTTTTTTGCTCAACTCATCCGGAAGATATGTCGTGAAAGTTTTAAAATAAACTAAAAACATAGAAAACAATCGTAGTCATCTATTAAAGTTCAAACTGTCAGACAGTCTATCGATTCGATTAACAACGAACACAACAACAACAACAACAACGATCCGTTGGTGAGTGATATTGATTTTAATTGTCTGACAGTCTGATTCTATCTATTACTTTCCGATAAATCCCTGGATTCTGTCAAAGCTTTTCTACTGCATAATCACAAAAGCTCAAGTTTTTATGAATTAAAATGTGTGTTTCATTCTGTTTTTAATCAATTTTTTTACGAAAACACACTAGCGTTTGGTTAAAGACAGCAACGTTGAATCAAAAAAATTAGTGTTTCAACTTAAACGACTTATACAGTGTGTTCCAAAAGTTTAGACTTTAGATCATCTTCAGCGATGAGAAGAAGTGATGTTTTGACGGGCTAGACGGGTATCTGCATTACTGGAGAGATTTATGAAAAGGAACCAAAGTATTTTTTATCATTAGATGCAGTATCAAATGTCCCATAATCCCGGATTCTGTCAAGGCTTTTCTACTTTTCTAATCACAAAAGCTCAAGTTTTTATGAATTAAAATGGGTATTTCATTCTGTTTTTTATCAATTTTTTTTACGAAAACACTAGCGTTTGGTTAAAGACAGTAATGTTGAATCAAAAAGATTAGTGTTTCAACTTAGACGACTTTTAGGTGATCCGCCTGAAGTTAATGAAACAAAGAAGTTGCTAATCAAGTTTCATTTTTGATTAGCACAATAAATTAGCAAATTTTGATAAAAGCAGAAGACTGAGAAAAGTTTTTAGAATAGTTTAGTTAACTCCCTCTGGAGTAAGGAAAATCAGGTGCATTGTGGTGTAATGGTTCGCACATTTGCCCGGCTTCGATGTCCCGGCGATGCACAAGTTTTTGATCTACCCTAGTTCCAACTGTTTTTTTATCTCTACGCTTGATCGATCAGCCGTGAAATGTAACAATTGCGTTTTTCATTGCAATGGAAAATATCTAAAAACTATTTATTTCAAAAATAAATATCATGAAATTATAATTATCTTCCTATTCTCAAATCATTTACAACTCGTCAGTTTTCTTCGGTTTCGAGATGGTTTGTTGTCGAATGAACTCGAAGATGTCACCGGCCAGAGTCTTTGGAAGCTAAAGACAAAATTAAAGCTGAATTGTTGGAGTTTACTGCTATTTTTTAAAGATATCCATTGTCTTACCTTGTAAGCGGCAAAATGCCCCCCATCAGGATGCTTACGTCGGTATTGGAGGTTGAACGAGTGCTTCCTGATCTTCATAATCAAAATATGTTGATAGTTGAAGTTTAAGCTGAAAATCCAGTTCATTTTTCAAAGTTACCAAGTCAGCAAGAATTGTTTCAAGGTTACCAAGTCAAGAATTGTTTCAAATTAACTCAAAAGCAAGAATATTTATTTATTTAATGTTTTTTAGCTCTTTGTTACCTTTCTTATAATATGATTTACATATAATTTACATCTTCAAAAGTCCCTCACCGTGTCGAATGGTTCATGCCCGAAAAAGGTCGAGGGTTCAATTCCCCTTGCTTCATGATCTCTTCGGGACTCTAGAGATTCATCGTAATTTCTCCTAAGTCGGCCAATCTTTATGATTTTGGTTTCATTTTGTTGCACTTATTGAGATCTACAAAATGAAACCAAAAGCGCAAAGATTGGTCCACTTAAAAGAAAGTTATGGCGAGCAGAAATATTGCGGAAATTAGCCTACCCCAAAACAATATTTTCTTCAAAAATCTCTTACCTTGTCGAATGGTTCATGCCCGAAATTGCTGTGTGCAGTCGAGACTTCATAGTATTCTCTGGAAAATTTTCGTTGTTTCAAATCGGCCTAATTCATTAAATAAAAAGAGCTTAGTCTTAGTTTTTATTGAAGAAATCAAAGAGATCTATTTCTCTTTCTTCCTTGCTTTCTCTATCTCTTTCTCTAAAAAGCTATCTATGCCCGAGAATTACAGGTATAAATCAATTTGAAAGTTTTCAAAGTTAAAACTTTACTTCGTGATTCCGCCATCTTTCAAATCTTTATAACCGAAATTCGTCCACGACGAGAATTTCTTTTCTTCATTTCTTCATTTCTTGATTAACTTTTCTTTGTTTAAGCCAACTCACCAATTTTGGCGCAAACGAGCCGAGAATCGATCGATTCCGCTAGGGAAAGCGCTGTTCATATTGAAGTGGAGTGCGAGAATTCTAGACAAAATGCATTGAGAGTTATTGACTATTTCATAATATTATTAATCTCTAAACAAATTTTAGTCGCTTTTTCTTTACAAACTCACTCATTTTTGTACATCCGAGCCATGTTTCACGTGATCACCAAGTCCCAATCACCGCCCTGAAAATGGGAATCATCCGTTTCAACAGTTTATTATCATATTTGTTTTAAACTCACTTAACCCATACATGTTGCCCATACAGGTTTCTACATGTTCCTCGTTCAACTCCAAAGTAGAAATGAGGAGAGTTTTTCTTCAGGCACATTTATTTTGAATGCTTTTATCGTTTCATCGTCTTTCCCCATTTTTCCCTTTCCATACCATCCATTTGCGGAAATTTCAATCTAAAAGCTTCAATTTCTTGAAAGATTTTGAAGATATAAATAACTTTTGTAAAGCAAATGTAAGTAAATTTCATCTAGATATTTAATTTCATCTACCCAGCGATGATTAAAGTTCTGAACGAAACCAATCGGCGCCAACTTTGAAACGACTTTTAACCTTTTTCTGTCTATACTTTTTGATTTTTTTTTGATTGACAACTAGGATTTACTTTGATGTTTTGATGAAGTTCTCAGAAGAGCTTCAATTCTCACCTTTTGTTTTGGCTGTGTCCATAGATAGACTCCAACAGCTGCCAAAAGCACCAAGAATAACAATCCGCCTTTTCCACAGCAACAACAACCCATTTTTTGAGAAGATCTTAATGATGAAAGATAGAAATTTAGATTTATGCAAGATTTATGCAAAATATTTTCAAGAAAAACTTTTAAATCAAAAGTTTAGAAAATATAGATGGCTTGAATCGCAAGAATATTGTTTCGTTTAAAAAAAGCATTTGTTTTCTTTATATTTTGCTTCTTAGTTTGAATGAAAGATTCTTAATGATGAAAGAAATTCCTTATCAGTGGAAAGCGGTGTGGAGAAGAGGGGCATTCGCTAGCGTTTCCCCTTTCTCGATAGATCATTTCCCCGCCTTTTTCCCGCAATAAAAAAAGCTATCTAGATTTATGCAAGATTTATGCAAAATAATTACAGGTATAAATCAATTTGAAAGTTGTCAAAGTTGAAACTTTAAAACACAGAAAAAAACGAGAAAACACAAAGAGAAAACGGCTCTCCATTCTGATAGCAAAGGGGAAGAGTTCCTTTCTATTTTACCCAATGGGCCTTTTTTGCCGTGCGGAACCTTATCAAAAAAAAATCCTGCCCTTTTATTGATCACCTTCTAGACTTTTTGATGACTTATGTGAAACAGAATTTTTTGAAAAGTTAGCGTTTTTTGTGAATGACTTATGTGAAACAGAACTTTCTTTGAAAAGTTAGCGTTTTTTTCCAAAAAGAACTGTTTTTAGGTCTTTGTAGGTTTTTGTCTAGAACTATTTTGGCTACAAAACTAGACATAGAACGTTAAATTTGGTTCAATATTCACCAAGGTATTTTCTATCGAAAATCGGCCGCTCATTTTTTATTTTGCCATTCAATACGTTGCCTTTCGAAGTTTTAAGATATCTGAAAGATTTTATAAGCTTTTGTCCTATTATTGTTCAGAAAAAGATATTTCGAAATCATCATTCTAATTTCTTCTTGTGTTTTTAAACTAACTCCCTAGTTCCAACCCGTTCCAACCTGTTCCAACCCGTTCTCGCCTCTCAAAGCGAAAAAAATTCAGATTCAGATTCAATTCAGAATACCAAAAAAATAATCAAAGATGAACAACGAAGACAACAACAACAACAACAACAACGATCTGTTGGTGAGTGATATTGATTGTAATTTTTAAATAGATTGGTTTCCCAATAAATTTGTTTTCTTAAGAAAATTCAAAAATAATTAGATTCCTTTTCAGATCGAGATCGATACAAAGATGATCGAAGTGAAGCAATTTGTTGAGCAAGAAGAGCTGAAAAAAAAGTTTGTTGATTGAAGACTTTAGAACCACGGCTTTTAGGAAAAGCGACTTGATTGAAGAAGTGAAGAACCTGATTCAAGAGGCTAATGAACAAGCAGACGCTGCAAAAAAGCTTTTTTCTGATTCCGATCATCCGACCAACATCCAATCATCCGACCGACTGCTTGGTCATATTCTTAACAGAAAACGAAGGAGCAAAAAAGGAAAAACTAGGGTTTCGGCAGCGGAATATGATCAATTCGCTACGTTTGTCATTTTTTTAACGATGAAATCTCTTTCTTATTTCTAGCGCGGTTGCCGGGCTTTCAGAAGTGTTGCGATATCGGTCCTACAGAAAACTGTGTCAAGATGCCGGCACGAGATATGAGTCCTTTAAAAAGAATTACTTGAAGGTACGTCAACGACGATTACAGAATTTGATAACAATTTTTTTCAGAAAGTTGAGGCGAAGTGTAAAGAAGTGGAGCAGTTTCGCCACAAGGCTAAGCAACAAGCAGAGGTAGTTGCCCAGAGCGTTGAGACGAAGTGTAGTTTCAAAAATAGCTTTAGAACCCTTTTCAGGTCGCCATCAACGCAATCTCGATTGCAGCGAAGAAATTGTTTGAGATCGCACAAGAGCTGGAAAAAGAGTTTGTTGATTGAAGACTTTAGAACCACGGCTTTTAGGGTGAAGATTGAAGAGGTGAAGCTGCTTGACCACAAGGTTAATCAACTAAAAGAAAGGCAAGCAGATGTTGCGAGAGGGTTATTCTCTGTGCAACAAGGGAAAAAAAACAAGACAAATTCCGAGTGAGTTTTGAGTGAGCGAGAGAACCATTTATGAAGTTTAGATGCACTAATGCAGTAAAGCGAGTCGATCATTTGTGCAAAAAGGTAACGAATTGAAAAGTTTCGAAATTGTAGCATTTCCATGTTGCAGATATTGCGGGATGAATACATAAAGGGGCGGGTCGACAAGAAGAAGAATAGCAAGAATGTCAAACAGGCCAATTGGGTGAAATGGGAAGGAGATCTTCGTGTTCAGAATGGTGAGCCGTTTTCTCTTTGAAAGAATAGAAAAGCTTATAGAAATCATCTCGAAAATCGAAAACTACGATAAGAATAGCATTTATGCTTTCACGGATGGAAGCTGGGAGCCTGACGAGACAAACAGGATGAACTACGCTTCGGGCTTCGGAGTTTTTCTATTGACGGAAGCGGATCATCCACTCACGATGTACGATGATGTTCTTTTTCTATCAGTTAGACGATAGAAATTTTAAAATAAAAATAAATTAGATCAGTATTATAGGTGCGGTCCCATTGATCATCCTTCAGGCGGTCAAACTAGCCAGACAGCCGAGCTATTTGCAATCGAGATTGCACTTTACGCGATCTATCTTTTGGAGCGTTATGTTGGGTAAGCAAAAACACAAATGCAACGAATTAATTCTGCGGAATCACAATAGGCGATACCTTTTCGGACTGTTTTAGGCTACAAACGAATTTAATAAAACCCTACATTTGAAAGACTCTCTTTGCTCGAAAGAAGAGATTGAAAGAATCAAGCTAATCAGTGCATGTTGATCCAATGACCCAAATACATTGTATTGAATATTGTACAATAGACATTGCATTGACATTGTACATTGCAAAATATTTTTCCCATTTAGATTTATTCATTCGTTTAGACAAGAAGTCGTGATTTCAACGGACAACATCCGGGTCGTCGAGGCCTTTAATCAGTACAAAAAAAGCGGAATGGCCGGGGAACGCTGTAATTGCGACTTCAACCAGATGAAAAAATTGAAAAATGAGTGAGTTATGGGCACGATTAGATGAAAATCAGGTCTTTCAGATACATTGGCATCTACGAAAATTGCCAACTTTTCGATCTGAGCAAGTTGCAGTTTGAGCATGTGTACTCAAACCGAAAAAAGACCAAGCCACAAAATCCGGGCAATAAGGAGGTTGAAACCTTGAAAATTATAAGCAATTAGACAATTTCAGGCCGACAAGCTGGTGGACGAGGGCCGACAAGCGACGACGACAGCCTTGTTCAAACCAGCCACTCGCATCAAAAAACCGATGCATCAAAACACCGATGCGGCTGTCGAGGTGCGGGGGGTCGACTCCGAGGGATTCGACGCCGTTCTTGGATCAGAGGAAGAGGAGCCGACGCTGATGGACGGTGACACTGATGTGGATATGGATTGAATAGTATAAAGAAAAAAATAGCAATACCGTGTTTATTCTAATAGATGACTACCGCCCTGACCCCTTGAAATCGGGGACTTTTTGCAACTTCTTTTTAGGTAGAATGACAGATTTGGGTGCAGATAGAAGTATTTTAGGATTGACAGTAAAACCTGGGTTTTTTGGAAGATTTTCTATGGGACCCGGGCGAGAAGAATAATCTCACTTTTAAACATGTTCTTCGCATGTTTTGGGCCATCGTTTAAAATAGTTTTTAACAGTTTTCAAAATTTTGATTCCTGTGGGAGGCCCGTATCTAATTTTTTTGCCCGTCTTCTTCTATTAGAATAAATACGGTATGTTACGTAACTGACTAGCTAAGGGCTCTGTATTTTTTCCTTTTTTCTTTTTCTTTTGGTTCAATCCCGCCGTCTAGATTATTGGTTCCTCTTTCCTTTTCATTTGATTTTGATTTTGATTCATAAAAAATAAAATAAATAAAAAAAAAAAATTAAAATTATAATAAAAAAAATTAATTAATTAAAATTTCCTCCGTTGTCTTGTCATTCATTATTCGTATCGAATAAATATACTATTAATCCTGCCGGCTAGATTATTGGTTGCTCTTTCCTTTTGATTTTGATTTTGATTTTGATTCAATTTGATCTTTTGATTCAATATGGGTTTTTTTCTTTCCAACATTTCGAGCGTGGTGCTTGTGCAATTGTTTGTATCACATTATTGGTGTGAATCAATGAATCTTTATACCACAGTCCTATGTCAAATCACTAGCGATTACGCGCCGCACAAAGGACACCTAGCCCGTCATTTTACACAATGATTTTCACTAAGTAAATGTAAAGTAAATGATTCCCAAATGAGATTTAATGTCAAGAAGTTGTGTCCCGGGGCTTTCAGGGTCGTAGAACCTATTGGCAGAGTTCATTTGATCCATTTGTCTCAAAAAAAGTCCCGCGAGAATCGAATTGGCGTGCCTATGATAGCTTTTCACAATGAAAGATCTGTTTTCAAAAGAGCCGGATTTTTGAGGAGAACCAAACTTGTAGAGAAGCCAAATAGCAACAATAACATTATAGGATACTGTAGGTGAATAGATGATTTTTTAAAATTTTTATATTTCTATATAGATTTTATATATATATATATATTAGGTTGATGCATAAGTGTTTTTGTTCCTTTTCGTCTGCCGTTTCAAGCCAACAAATGCACCAATTAAACTACGGTTGATTTCATTAGAAAAAGCAATTATTTTTCTGCAAAATAACATTAAAACGGGTTTAAAAATATTGAATGCCTGGATTTTCTTGAGAGTATGAAGTCGGGTAGTCAAAAAGGGCTAACTCGATGATGCGGTTTAGACACCTTAGCTAAAGAAAACCTATCTTCGTGTCAATAGATAAAAGATAGAGAAAAAAAACGTTTGATATTTCGCCAAAATTTCAGAGAAATTCATTCAGCCAATTTTTCCGTAGAGTTTTTTATAGATTTTTACGAAAAAGGCGTTTTTCACTCTCGAATTTGCTTCAAAGTGAACCGAAATTCATTTAAAAAGATGCAAATTGAACAAAAAAACACTTTTTTTATAGAGCAAACTATAGATTAATTGGTGAATTTGTTACTTTTTAACAGAAGTACGAAAAAAACGAAAAGACTTATGCATCAACCTATTAGATCAATCAATTTTTTATATTCTTTAAGATTTTAAAGATTTTTTTAATGAATCGATCAGTTGATACAAACAAACGTGAAATGAAACAATTGCGTTTTTCATTGCAACCGAAAATATCTAAAAACTATTTATTTCAAAAATAAATATCATTAAATTATAATTATCTTCCTATTCTCAAATCATTTACAACTCGTCAGTTTTCTTCGCTTTCGGGGTGGTTTGTTGTCGAATGAACTCGAAGATGTCACTGGCCAGAGTCTTTGGAAGCTAAAAGCAAAATTAAAGCTGAATTGTTGGAGTTTAAAGTTGTACTGTTATTTATTAAAGATATTGAGTTATTTTTCACCTCGTAAGCGGCAAAATGCCCTCCATCGGGATGCTCACGTCGGTATTGGAGGTTGAACGAGTGCTTCATGATCTCTTCGGGAATCTAGAAATTCATCGTAATTTCTTATCTTAAAATACGTTAATAGTTGAAGTTTAAGCTGAAAATCCCGTTCATTTTTTAGCAAATCGCAAGCAAGTTACCAAGTCAGCAAGAATTGCTTCAAATTAACTCAAAAGCAAGAATATTTATGTATTTAATGTTTTTTTAACTCTTTGTTACCTTTTTTATAATGTCATTTACATAAAAACTCAAAAGGTTTCATTTTTCATTGTAGATCGCAATAAGTGCAAAAAAATGAAACCAAAATCATAAAGATTGGTCCACTTAGAAGAAAGTTATGGCGAGCAAAATAATTGCGGAAATTAGCCTACCCCAAAACAATAGTTTCTTCAAAAATCTCTTACCTTGTCGAATGGTTCATGCCCGAAATTGCTGTGTGCAGTCGGGACTTCACAGTATTCTCTGGAAAATTTTCGTTGTTTCAAATTCGGACTAATTTATTAAATAAAAAAGAGCGTAGTCTTAGTTTTTATTGAAGAAATTAAAGAGATCTATTTCAGTTTCTTCCTTGCTTCCTCCTCCTTGTCTTTCTTATTTCTCCCTTGGTCAAGAAGGCGCCAATAGCTCATCTGTCCGGTGAGCGGAAGCTCGAGGGTTCAATTCCCCTTGGTTCCAAACTTTTATCATTCATTTCTTTACTTTTACCATTCATTTATTTGTTTAATCTTAAACAAACAAATAAAGTGAAGATATTTCTTTTCATTTCAGCCAAAGGAAACACTGTTGTTTAAACATTTGTTGTTTGTTTAAACTATCTAAATTCATCTCAACTCTTAACATTACTATAACTCGTTAGTTTTAAAGTAAAATAGCTCTTCAAATTGGACCCCGCTTCATAAAATTGTTTCATTCTAAGTGACAATCGACTTTTTGTCATATCAAAAGTTCTCTTTTCCACAAACTTTGACAACAAATCGTTCCTCGTATCCAAGAAGAATTCCTTGTAGAAACGCTGTGAATTCACGATATTCCCTTGTACCCAATAGATTGTCACAATCGTTAACACCTCGTCAAGAGTGAATTTCCTGAAAAAACGGAAGTTTAAGAACTGTCTATTCCTAAAAAAGCTATCTATATCCGAGAATTACAGGTATAAATCAATTTGAAAGTTGTCAAAGTTGAAACTTTACTAAGATACAGAGCTCTTAGCCAGTCGGTCACGTAACTCATTCACGTATTTATTCTAATAGAAGAAGACGGTCAAAAAAGTAGATAAGGGTCTCCTACAGGAATCCGGTTTTGTTGCTTGTATATGCATATAACCACTCTCGACCATCACCATTTTAAACAGATCAAATAAGTTGAAGTTTTGATAGTTTGGAGAGGAGAAAAACTGAAATTAAAGCGGAAATTTTCAATGCAAAACTTTAGAAATGAATGATCTGATTGGGGAAAATAAGAATGTTTCAATTTTACCTGTAATGAACACATTATTTTGGCTACTTTCGAGTGCATAACTTTTGTAATCTTTTAAATTCTTGCACTTTTAAAACCCAATCTCAAATTTCCAATAACAATTCTTTGCTCTTTTAATTGTAATTTCCATCTTCTTTTCTTCATTTCTTGATTAACTTTTCTTTGTTTTAAGTCAACTCACCAATTTTGGCGTAAACGAGCCGAGAACCGCCTTGACGAGACCGATTCCGCTCGGGAAAGCGCTGTTCATATTCAAGTGGAGTGCAAGAATTCTAGACAAAATGCATTGAGTTATTGACTATTTCATAATATCAATCTCTAAACAAATTTTAGTCGCTTTTTCTTTAGAACTCACTCATTTTTGTACATCCGAGCCATGTTTGACGTGACCACCGAGCCCCAATCACCGCCCTGAAAATAGGAATCATCCGTTTGAACAGTTTATTATAATATTTGTTTTAACCTCACTTGAATATAATATTTCTTGAAATTCAATCGATTCATCAGCTTGTGAAAGACTCGAGCACACTCGACTTGAGAGAAACCTAAAGATTTGATGAATTTGATATTGATTTGATATTGATTTTCATTTGATTTGATAAAAATTTGATTTGATAAAAATACCGTATCCTCTTTTACCGCTTTCTAAAAGGCATTCAGAAAACTGGCAGATTCAAAATGCGAGTTTACTCCGATCAACCCAATTTTGAGATGTGATTCATCGAATAAAACCGATCGCAAACGAATAAATTAGGTTGATTCTGATTCTGATTACGTCTGAGTCTAATTACGGTACCTTTTTTTTAAATACCGCCTATTAGAAAACGTATTAGCTGAGATAAAACGCATCATAACTATACTTTTGAAGTAAGCACCACCGCTCACAAGTGTCCCCAATGCCTTCCGTTTTTTGCGTTTTTCTCACCGCTCACTTGACCGGTTTGGCTACTTTTGATTTCATTCGATAACTATTAATCAGGAATATCGAATGAAACCAAGTGCAGCCAAATCGGTCGAGTGGGCGACAAGAAAAACGCAAAAACCTAGGCAATGGGAACACTTGTGGGCGGTACTTCAAAAGTATAATTCAAATTCAAAGCAAATCAATTCAAATCAATTCAAATTCAAATCAAATTCAATTCAAATTCAAATGCAATTCACTAACCCCTTTTCTTCGGACTATCCGAGAACACGGATAGTCCGAAGCACCACCGCTCACAAGTGTCCCCAATGCCTTGCGTTTTTTGTGTTTTTCTCATCGCTCATTTGACCGATTTGGCTTCATTCGATAACTATTAATCAGGACTATCGAATGAAACCAAGTGCAATCAAATTGGTCGAGTGGGCGACGAGAAAAGCGCAGAACACATAGGCAATGGGAAAACTTGTGGGCGGTACTTGAAAAGTATAATTCAAATTCAAAGCAAATCAATTCAAATCAATTAAAATCAATTCAAATTCAATTCAAGCATTCAAATGCAATTCACTAACCCGTTTTCTTCGGACACTCCGAGAATCCGTATCCGGGAATCGACGGGGCGATCACCTCAAAAGCGAAATCGTAATCGAAACCGAATTTCTTCGGATCGTTGAGCATCGGGATGATTTTAACGAACTGGAAATGAACATATTGTTTCAATTTAATGCCAATAAATCAACAAATCCAGCTGTTATTTCGAAAATTTCATTAATTTTCTTCACCTCTTGAACATTTCCCGGCCATCCGTGAACGATCAACAATGGATAGATTTTCTTGTAACCAGCCGCTGGTTTCGAGTGAATGAAATGAATCTAGAAAAGTTTTATGAAGGTTTTTGTTTTGCCAGAAGTTCTAGATAACGTGATTCTACATGATAGTTTTCTCTTAAAATTTATAAAAAGATCAATTTTCAATGTATTGAGATGAGTTTAACTTTGAAAAAGTGAATGATACAGTACTGGACAACGAAATATCATGTTTGAAAAGAGATCGTCACTTTCGCGTGCGCTGTAATCCTTGTCTAAAAATAGCGTATTTCTAAATATAAATACTACCATTGTGTAGCTCTTGAAAAGAGCTTTCAGAAAATGTATAACACTAATAGTTTAAACTCAAAGCCAAGGGAGTTACAGACGTGCGAACGTGACGATTGTTTTTCAAATATCATATTTCATTGCCCAGTACTCTACCTTCATCCCCTCGATTTGCGTTGTGAATTGAGTGAATGCATTCAGCGTTGCTTCATGTTTTCTCCAATCGTATTTATTTTGCCAATAGTCTTTCACTTCCTGAATTTTAAAGCTATTAAATAGATATTGTTTTGAAAATGTTTCTATTCAGCAATTACCTTGAGATAATGAGAGTTAAAACCGTATTGGAAATCGTCGGAATCTTCGAGAGTCTCGTGGGAGATCCGAGCTTGTGAGAGACGGGTTTTGAGGTCCTAAAATAGAATAAAAATAGAAATTAAGTATTAGTTATTAAATACCAACGAAAAACGTGGACCTTCCCAGTTGAAAAACGCTCACTAACGTCCGCGTTTTCCAACTGGGAAGGTCCACGTTTTCCACGCAATCTAAGCCCCGCCACTTCTTGCCAATGGCTGCGCACAGACGGACGGACGGACAGACGGTCTCTTCTGCTTTAGACTAGAGTAGATAGTTGTCTTATTTTCAATAATAATAAAATATTCAAGATTGAGCGGCACTCGGGGGTCGACCCCGGATCGTGTGGGCTATAGAGCGCGCGCTTGACTGCGCCACGTTGGCTGAAGCTTGTGACCAGAAAAAAGCTTACTTTTAAGACTTGGAAACGCGCTAGAGAATTGAAATCTCTTTTCATAAGGTCCTTAAATTGTCGCCATGACCGAATGGCTAAGAGCCTTGTCTTTTAGTCAGGACCGCGAGGTCAAGGGTTCAATCCCGTCATCTAGATTATTGGTTCTTTTTTCCCATAGATATAGTTTTTTCTACATGTAGGTTTCTACATGTAGGTTTCTAGATGTAGGTTTCTACATGTAGGTTACTATATGTAGGTTTCTATATGTAGGTTTCTAGATGTAGGTTTCTATATGTAGATTTCTATATGTAGGTTTCTACATGTAGGTTTCTATATGTAGGTTTCTAGATGTAGGTTTCTAGATGTAGGTTTCTACATGTAGGTTACTATATGTAGGTTTCTACATCTAGGTTTCTAGATCTAGGTTTCTAGATGTAGGTTTCTAGATGTAGGTTTCTAGATGTAGGTTTCTATATGTAGAAACCTACATGTTTCTACAAGGGTTGTGCTTAGTATTATTTGTACGACGTTATTCGTGTGAATAAATATATTTATATCTCTTTTCAAAGGTACAAAATTCTTTTTCATAAACTCGAAAAACAAAAGAACTTTTCCTCGTTCAACTCCAAAGTAGAAATGAGGAGAGTTTTTTGCTTTTGAAGTTGATTATATTGATCAAAGTTTATGCTTCAATGTAAACTGCAAAAAGCAAAAAGTTTCGTATAACTTTCCCTGAGCTGCTAAAAGTTAAAACAAAGAAATTCCACACATTTCACTCACCGTTAGAACTTCTTCAGGCACATTTATTTTTTACTTTTACTTTTATCGTTTCATCGTAGAGAATCAAAAATCAAGCTTATATCCAAATTTTCAGAACGATTCGAAAACTGGTTTCGAAGAAATGCCAAATTTACGACTTTTCACAAAACTTGCATTTTAAGCGAAACTACTAAGTGTATCTTTTTGGAAATTTGGCTATAAGCCTCATTTTTGATTCTCTACAACTTTTCTATTGACACCAAAATGGGTTTCTTTTGAAGAAAGTGCTCAAACTGGGACATCTCCATTTTAAGCGAAACTACTAAGTGTATCTTTTTGGATTTCAAGCAAAAAGTTTCGTTTAACTTTCCCTGAGCTGCTAAAAGGTCAAATAAACAAATTGCACACATTCCACTCACCGTTAAAACCTCTTCAGGCACATTTATTTTGAATGCTTTTATCGTTTCATCGTCTTTCCCCATTTTTCCCTTTCCATACCATCCATTTTCGGAAATTTCAATCTAAAAGCTTCAATTTCTTGAAAGATTTTGAAGATATAAATAATTTTTGTAAAGCAAATGTAAGTAAATTTCATCTAGGTATTTAATTTCATCTACCCAGCGATGATTAAAGTTCTGAACGAAACCAATTGGCGCCAACTTTGAAACGACTTTTAACCTTTCATTTTCTGTCTATGCTCTTTGATCTTTTTTAATTGACAACTAGAATTTGCTTTGATTTTTTGGTGAAGTTCTCAGAAGAGATTCAATTCTCACCTTTTGTTTTGGCTGTGTCCATAGATAGACTCCAACAGCTGCCAAAAGCACCAACAATAGCAATCCGCCTTTTCCACAGCAACAACAACCCATTTTTTGAGAAGATCTTAATGATGAAAGATAGAAATTTAGATTAAGATAAAGATTCATTCAAAATATTTTCAAGAATATTTTGAATGAATCTTTAAATCAAATCAATGAATCTAGATTTTGTATTTAAATCAAAGCTTTAGAAAATATAGATGGCTTGAATCGCAAGAGAATTGTTTCGTTTAAAAAAAGGATTGGTTTCTTTTATATTTTGCTTCTTAGTTTGAATTGAAATTGTTTTTTGGATTGATTGAATAAAGGTGAAAACCGGGGGCTCGATAAACAAAAGTAAACAGAAGTAAACAGAAGTAAACAAAAGTAAACAAAAGTTCAACCTTCAACGACAACTTTAAAGCACAAATCTTTGTAGGAAAAATAAGAAATAGCCTTTATTTTCTATTGTTTTAGAAAGTACAGCGGATTGTTGGCAACAGCGAAAATGAGCAACAGCAACAGCAAAAGTATTAAAGCCAAAAGGCCGCCATTTGCCTACCACAACTTTTCAGCACTTTTAGCACAAACTTTATACTCGTCCGGATCATCTTTGTGCTTAAAAAATACCGAGTATTGAAAGAAAAAAGGCGCAAGAATGTACGCATATTTTAAAATAACAACAAACTCATTAAATTTTTATCTAAGAATTTGAAATGTTAAACCAAAATGGAAAACTTGATTAGAAATTTCTTTTAAAACAAAAAATTCTCAAACTTATAAGCTCTATGTACATGGGATGATGAAAAGTTGGGTAAAGAGTATTAGAAAAAATTCGGGCATCAAAATGAGCTTTGCGGTGGGTGTTGTTGGTCAGAAAAGTAGGAAAGGAAAGATTGAAGAATCAACAAGTGAAAAAAAAATGAGAGAAACGAGTATTTTGAGGGGGAAAGGGGCCTTTTTAAACAGAAAAAAAACAACGAAAAATCGGTGAAAGAGAAAGAGATATGAGAAAGAGGGAAAGAAAATAGACTACGAAAGCACACAACTACAAGGAGAGATTGCGAGGGGAGAGGAGGAAAGGAGGAGAAGGGGGAAGGGGGGAAAGGAGATCAAAAGAGAACCGGGACAAGTAAATGCCTACACTGGACACAAATCAGAGGATTTACGAAAGAAAATAGCACTACATTGACACAAATTAGCACAAAATTAGCACAAATTGGGTTAAAATTTTGTGCAGGGATCGGCTATTGTGGAAAACTTTTAAATAGAACGGTCAATCGAGTCTTTTTTGTTTCAAAAACGATCAAAAACGATCAAAAACAGTCAAAAAATCACAAATCAGAAAATTTTCGGAAATAAAATCGACCCGAGTTTTGCTGGCATTTAGTAAATGAGCAGCAAGCCCCGAATTTGTTGTTCTAACAGTGATTTCCGGGGTTTGCCAACGCCAATGGTTTACCCCGGTTCCCGGGGTACGGCAAAATCTTTTTTCTAACTGATTTTCTTTACTGATTTTAACTGATTTTTAACTGAAATTTTCGGTATCCATCTCGACGTTTTACGATGTGTCAAGAAAAAAACGCTTGTCCCTTAGCTCTGAGAACCGGCCGAGATCCAGAAAATGGCGGTTTTGAAACCTGAAATCTTGAAACAAGTATAAAGTGCCAGCAAAACCTTGTGCAGGGATCGGCTATTGTGGAAAACTTTTGAATAAAGGCCAAGGGCCACCTTTTTGACAGAGCCTAAAGAGAGGGAATCACTTTGTGAAGTGTGCCAGAAACTCGAGGAAAGCTGCCTAAATTCAATAATTTTTTACCTTAAATATTTCCGTTCTAAAGTCCCAAAAGAAATTCTGGACATTCGGATAGTTAATTTCTTTCTTTTTTCTCAATCGAATCATACTTAAATCATTTTTTGACTCGAGAGTAAGTTTAAAAGCATGAATTTGCTCTTCTAAGCATGAATTTGCTCTTCTCATCATAAATTTGCTCTTCTCATCATAAATTTGCTCTTCTCATCATAAATTTGCTCTTCTCATCATAAATTTGCTCTTCTCATCATAAATTTGCTCTTCTCATCATAAATTTGCTCTTCTCATCATAAATTTGCTCTTCTCATCATAAATTTGCTCTTCTCATCATAAATTTGCTCTTCTCATCATAAATTTGCTCTTCTCATCATAAATTTGCTCTTCTCATCATAAATTTGACTCGTTCCCAGTCCGCTTTCAAAACGTTTATTAAATTCACAAAACACTCTTTCTAATCAGTAATCTTGAAACAAGGTTTTTGAAAAGCCGTCTTCACTGCACAAAATTGAGTTGAACTTTTAGAAATTGCACTTTTTGATTTCTTTTATATTATATTAGATTATTTTTATTATTATTTATCCAAACTTTTTCCAATTTTGATTTTTTTTGATATTGACTATAGCAATTGCCAACAAAAAAGACTCATTAATTGAAAAACTTGAGATCTTTTCAAATATCTCAATCACACATAGGTTGCTAGCCCCTTTTTTCGTGCCAAGGTCAGTCTGAAAAATGAAGAAAATGATAAAGCATATAAATATCAAACTTGAAAAACTTTATCCCATTCTTTTCCTAATGTTTCATTTCCTAATTCTTTTATCGATTCCTCTAATTTTCGCCTGGGGTCCTCCGGGGAAACAAACGCGCAATTTCAACACCGATCAGGGGAAAAGTTTCCAAGCGAAAGATGCCGATTATGATTATGAGTGGGTTTTATGGAGATTATCGAAAATGACAAGTTAGTTTGAAATTTTGATCCTGCAAGGGTTGAAAATGACAACTGCAACTTGATCGGATCGAATTGGAAACAAAGCTTTGACTAGTCAAACACTTTAAATTCTAATTAAAGTAAATAATTAAATATTAATCTAATTAAATTAAATCCATAAGCCAATATCAATAGAAATTTTGAATTATAAAATTTTTTTACATTGAACACTCTCCACCTCCATCAAATCGAAAAACTTTTTGTCAAGCCAATTCATTGCTGTGTGCAATTTGAACAGTTTTGTGGCAGAATTGATGCAGGGGAATTTGAACATAGTGACGATCAAGGTTCGTGCCGGCCGTTCAGCCTCGCACAGATCCCCAATATGGCAAAAGGTAACACCTATCTGTCTGAGGCATATGCCAGATCGCGAGCGATTACGCGGCCGCACAAAGAACACCCCGCCAGCCGTTTAGAAAGCTCTTTTGCTTTGTTGATGGCACAAAAAGAAGATATTCAGCTGTAAATTTGTACCCAGGGGTTTTCAGGGTCGTAGAATCTATTTACAGAGTTTATTTTAACCATTTGTCCTAAGAAAAGTCCTAAGAGAACCAGCATATGATAGCTTTTCACAATGAAAATCTTTTCACAATGATTTCCAAGAAGAACCGATCATTATTCAAGCGCTTGTGGCATTAGAAATGTTAGAAATTCTCGAAAAATCAATATTTTTATCAATCAAACCTCCAAATAATCGAAATTTCAATCTTTTTAGCCAAAGCGAAGTGCGTCGAGTGTCTCAATTGGGAATGAATTCGGGAATTCGACCCGGATTTGGTCTGATTTTCAAGCCGAAACACTTTTCATCCTTTATAAAATGAGGAATTTTATAAAAACAACATTTTAAGATTAAAATAGATCTTTATAACAATTGTCTATTGACATTTGCTATTGATTTTGAAATTTTCAGGCGGCTTTGCCACTCCAGTTGGCCCTCCTCGTCCTTCTACAGGTAAAAATGAATCGAATTACTTGTAGTCTTTAGAAAACTTATATAATTTGATGTTTTTTTCAAAGAAAATGACCCATTTTCCCCTTTCAGAGCGAATTATTTTCAGTTGTGATCACGAAAATTCACGAGAATTTCGCGATTGACCCAAATCCGAACCTCAACTTTTTCGCCTCATCGGTGAGATTTTTGAAAGAAAGCTTTTTCTTTTCATTATACAATTTTTGTTTATAGGTTTAATTTCTTCTAAAAAGAGCAATTTCAAATTTCGAAATAGATTCCATTATTCCGAAATTGAAATCAAATAAAAACGACCATTGAAGTTTAAAAAAAAAACACTCTTTATACTTGCGCACTTTGAAATATTAGGGTGGTGCAAAAGAAACTGCCGATTTGACGGTAAATTTAAAAAAAAAAGATGGCGTTCGATGGTGACAATGGAATATTTTTGATCACAATGGAATATTTTCGCAAGATCTCGAGCAGATTGGCATGGATAGGCCTGAATAACGTCCCTCAGCTTGGCTTCGTCCACGACTTCTGGCCTCAAACCGTGCTCATAATCTTCCAAAGTCTCGTCTCCCTCTCGGAATCGTTGAAACCAAATCTGACACTGCCTGAGAGACAAACTGCCGTTTCCGAAAGCAGCACAGAGAGAACGATGCGTTCCAGTAATTCAAAGTACACCAAACCCTTGCTGTTCCACCATATAGTCAGTAAGATCTTCTTCCCGTGGATTTCGGGCCTTGGGGTTGGAATAGCACGTTCGCCGGCGCTCAGCCACTGTCGTTCTCGCGTAAAGTTGTCGTATGCAATCCATTTCTCATCCGATGTCACGATAGAATCAAGAAATCCGCTATTCTTTGCACGATTCAGGAGAATGCCAGCGATGGAAATGCGGGATGCGAGGTTAGCATCACTGAGTTGATGAGGGACCCATCTTCCACAACGACTTTTCTTTCCAATAGCGTGAAGATGGCGTTCGATGGTGACATGATCACAATGGAATATTTTTGCAAGATCTCGAGCAGATTGGCATGGATCGGCCTGAATAACGTCCCTCAACTTGGCTTGTTCACGAATCTTTGTTCGTTCTGGCCTCGAACCGTGCTCATAATCTTCCAAAGTCTCGTCTCCCTCTCGGAATCGTTGAAACCAAGTCTGACACTGCCTGAGAGACAAACTGCCATCTCCGCAGCCATCGCCGAAAGCAGCACAGAGAAAACGATGCGATTCGGCAGCAGACTTTCCAATTTTGAAGTTAAACAGTAATGCTGAGCACAAACTTTTGCTCGACCATGATCTAAATAAAAAATATAAGC